ATGACCACATTCTGGCGTCATCGTAACATATTCGTCGGTCTAGAACCGAGAGTTATTAACATTTTATAGAAAGAAACCGAAAGCCTGATGTCGCATGAATCATCCAGTTGTCACAGAGGCTAAAGCTTACTGGATAAATACAAAAGTTGAAGCCAACTTTTATTGACATTTTTTTTTGTTGAATTTTTCTGATAATTCCAGTAAATAGTTATTTTTTTCTCACAAACATTTAACTATGAATGCGGATCGTAAGCTATTATCTCTAAAATACTTTTTGTTCTGAGAAGTACCTGCAGCAACATTGACATAATCATGATCGTGACCAAACAAATTTTGTCATGCACATTTCTGAATGCATATCAAAATTTGATGATTTTTTTTCTAGAGAAGAGGTATTTGGGATTTTTACATATTTGGAATCAGCGTGATGAGACATTGAATGTCTATAACAGCTATACTTAATAATAAATTTAAATTAATTTTTGATCATCCTGGATTTTGCTTCATATGCCCTGATTATTAATTGAACTAAAATTTGAACAATTTTATTTTTAGATCCAACATCTTGCGCAGAAATTAATTTTAAAAGTCCATTTGCTTATTGGACACTTGGCGTTGTCAGTGTTATACTAACGATATTGGCTGATGCTGGCAATTTGATTAATTTGTTTGTATTAACTAGACGACATATGAGAAGTACAATGACAACACTATTGGTCACGTTAGCCTACGCAGACTTAGTACCACCTACTGTTGTATCTGTGAATAATATCCTGTTTTATCATTTTTTGCCCAAAATGGAAACATCATCAACATTTCTAACAAGTCACAATGTATCAAAGCATTTATTTAATTCATTCGCAAATATTTTTACAACATTTTCAAACTGGATGATAGTTCTAATAACAACATTTCGATTGATTGTGGTCAAGGTAATATCTATAGTTCGTCTGATATATAGAAAAGAGACGTTTTATGTTTTATTGACTATAGTAACGATTGAAAAGACGTGTCACAGTCAGAAGATAAACGTGTTGACAAATATATACAGATGAGAGTATAATGATTGTGTTGTCAGTTGTTAAACGAATTGTCGAAGTATTTTTTTTTATTAATCCACAACTAAAGAGTCACCATAAATCGTGTACTACCTAGAAATGTCACCGCAGTATTCACTGAAACTTCCCTTAAAATAAATTTAGTTTACACAAATTTCTCTTCTTCTTTCTATAGAAAACTAAATCAGATCAAAAATAGAAATTTGTTTAAATCATGTCCACTACTGCAATTCATCTAAATTAAAATGCATCAACTATTTGCAGTTTTTCCTTCCCTCGTCATGTTAGAACGATTGTGCAAAGTAAAATATGAAAAATTGTGACTCTGTCTTGTTCTAGACATGAGTATTCCTGCTATTTTAAGACTAACACAAGATCTACATCATATTTTCTAGCGGAAACTCTGGCAATTATGATCTGTCCCCATTTTGGCGTATGTTTGAACGATGACGTAAGAACATTGATAGATTGTCTAAAAAAACTATCGTATCCATTCCTCAACGCGTTTGTTATTCCCTGAAAGTTTTGTTCAGATCGGTCTTGTTTACAGAGATTGATTTTTAACATGGAAAGGAAGTTTTAAACGTATTTTTCTCAAACTAATCTAAAACTAATGTTCACTCTCGAAATTTGTGTGAATTAATTTTTTTATTCTAGAAGACTAAATTCAAATGAGAAGGATCATTTTTTTATTAGTATTATTGTCTTATCATCATTTGTTTTTTTTATTCTAGAAACCATTGTTGGCTAAGAATTATTGTAATCGTCGAACAGCTCGTTATGCTATTATTTTAATATTTATCTTATCATTCTTTGTCAATTTACCATTGTTTCTATTTACTAGTATTCAATTGTATTGTACTAATGATGGTATAAAATATTATGGTTTACAACGTTCATCAATTTTAATGACAAATTTTTTCTTACGTTCATATTATCCATTAATGGTTTCTATATCACTATTAATACCATGGTTAATATGTTTTTTTATATGGTTATTTTTAATTCGTGCACTCAAAGCTGCTCAAAAACAATTACAAAAAAAGAATATAAAGACAACTTTTTCCAATGATCGTAAACAAGATACATTTTTTCGTATTACACTTATGATTGTTTGTGTTCTAAGTGTTTATATGGTTTGTCGTTCAGCTCATCTTGTTGAAGTTATTCATATTTTATTTCAAAGTTATTTTCCAGTTAGTCAACTATATTTTACTGTGATTCGTGTAAAAATATTGTGTATATCGAATATTATGTTAACCATAAATCATGGAGCTAATTTTTATATTTATTCAATTAATCCAAAATTTCGTTTAACTTTGAAATTGTATCTAGTCTACTATTTTCGTCGTTGTCGAATTAAACGTCGTCGAGCATTTACCTATTTTAATTTAAGACGTAAAAAGACGAATGATTCTCTCGATGGTCTAAGCATTCAAAATGATCCATATATGAATCGTTGTACAATGTTATCGCCAAATTATTGTTATGCGAGTAGTTTAAGAAGTCCAAATAATTATCTTAAACAATTACAAGAAATATCACAAAATCATAGCTCTGAAAAATCATACGTCTGGCACGATATTGAAAAAAAACTAAAAAATTCTCAAAAAAGACGTAATCGGCGTTAATAAATTTTCTATTTTTAAAGGCAAATTTGTCGTTAAAATAATAAATTGTATATCACAGAAATAGAAGCCATAAAATATGGCAAATTTTTTGACATTGATAGAAAAATATAAAGAAAATTATTTATTTTACTTAAGTCTCCATCTCTGGATCAGAAACTTATTTCGAACAGGGTAGGCACGACCTCAACCAAATTTTAAGGAAAGTCCATCCAAAGTATGATGACGAAATCTTTTTAAAGCGTAATCTACTACCGTTAAGAGCTATGACGACACAAAATTAGAAGTTCCTAGTTATGATAGTTCTTGAATTATAGGGGAATCGCTACTTTTGCGGAGTATTGCAGTTAAATAAAAACAAAAATTATCTCGATTCGANCCCCCCCCCCCCCTCAGAAATGATGATCTTCGGACAAAAAATTCATTCTCAGATAAGTACATATAAAGATAGCCTGAAGTGTCTACTTTTAGAAATATCGCTTTTGGTTACAGAAGTGATTTTTCACGGCTTTCGAGCAAGTTTTCTAGGAGCTTCAAAAAACCGGATCTTCAAATAATAATTTTTTTCTGGATACTTATGTAATTAAATTTTTTCTCAACGCGTAGATTGTAGAGCAAACTTTTCTGATAAAAATAAGACATCGCACAACTCTGTATCAGCTTGCATTAAAAAAGTTACAGGCATTTTCCTAAACGCCCAAAGATTGAGCATTTTCTACATGTCTTCCTAGATAATAAAAGGAAATATTCGCCTTAATTTTATTATTGAAATTGAGAACTGGTTTAGAAGAAGTAGTGATGTGTCTATTGCAG